GCAAGCTGCGTGAGCGTGGAGCAGTCGCGGAAGAAACATGTAGAAGTATCGGAGTCGAGAGTGAAGGACAGCGAGGCAGTAGCGGAGGCCGGGAACGGAGCCGGTGCAGAAACTAGGCTAGGCAAACTAGGCAGTCCTACGCCTGACGCAGCAGGGGAGGCTAAGCTACATAAGGGTGCTACACCTAAGCTAGAGTACACATGGTAATAACATCGAGCAACACTAGAAGCGTCAGCATACAAGGCATGCAAAGCAGCACCTATCTGATCCATATCTAAATTAAAGATCGGCACGCCCTGGCGAAGCAGGCTGTGCCAGTCGGGGAGGTCCAGGGCTGGGCCAAAGCGACGACGAAAGAGATCGTCGAGGCGACGGAATCAGCGGGCGGCGGCACAGAGTGCGGCGGACAGGCTTGGTCTGAAGCTGGTACTGGCAGGTCACACCAACGGAGCTGCTGGTAGACGCCAAGCTGCGCGGGCCGCCACCACGGCCACCACCTATGGAGGTGCCGGGCCAACCCGGGGTGAGGCGAGCCCACGGCTGGGGCTGCGACAGTTGTTGCGACGACTGCGACTGCTGCGACGGCTGCTGCAGGTGCTCCTGCTGCTGGGGCAACGGCTGCTGCTCCTGACTAGTTGAGGCAGTCCCCTCAGTAGAACCACTGTCCCCGGTACCACCACTACTACAACCAGCTCCACCACCACGCCCTCCCTGGCGGCCAAGATCGGCACGGCGCGAGCGCTGCTGCGGGTGTACCGCAGCTGTAGTCTCGGTGAGAGTTGTGGCAGTGGCGACCGCAGCCGAAACGTCAGTAAAGGTGCACTGGGAGGGGGCACAGCCGTGAAAGATAGAGACTGCCGGCGCACCGCTCGACTGAGCGATAGTGCGCTGGCGAGTCTTGATCTCGGTCAGGGCGGTGACAAAGGCTGGCAGGGTGAGATCACCCGGGTGCTGGCTAAGGATGTGGTCGCGTGCACTAGCAAGGTGGTCAGGCAGGCGCATGGCGATAAAGTAGAGGGTCATGCAGAAGGGGGGAGGGAGCGCAGTGAGCTGGGCAGCAGTGCTAGCAGTGCGGTAGCGAGACTCTAGGGTGCGCAAGTGAGTGGCAAGGTCAGCAACAGTAGGGAAGGAAGCAAGGTCTGGGAAAAGCATTGGGAAGAGCAGGCGGCCTGCAGTAGCGGAGGCAGGCGTGGAATAGCGAGCAACAATAGCTTCTAAGTAAGCCTTGGCTGTATCAACTGAAGCAAAACGCGAACGCTCAGACACACGGAGGGCGTGACTGATAGCGACCTGAGCAACTGTATCGCGAGAGTCCCAGACGGCACAGGCAGGTGCAGCAGTAGAGAAACTCTCACGCTCAGCAGAGGTGGGGTCAGCAGGGAGGGGAGCAGGCGCAGGGGGGCGGGGGAGCAAGCCATCAGTATGAAGAACCAAGGAGTGCCCATCCAGGCGCTGACCTGTGAGTTTACGGCGGAGATCGGACAGCCAGGCGGCGAAGTCAACCGCATGGCCCTCAGCGTCCAGGCGGAGTACGAAGTCAGCCATCGTGCAGGGTCGGCGACACAGGGACACAGTGGCACAGCTCCACACGACACAGCGACACAGGGACACAGCAGAACAGCTCCAGGGGGACGTCTGCAGGACGCTCTAGCGCTGGCAAGCAGAAGGCACGAGGCTGGAGACCCGAGGAACCGTGCCGAGCAGAAGACACGGAGCCGCAGGAGCCGGGCAGGCACTGGGAGCTGCTTGCCGCAGGAGCCGGGCAGGCGTATCGGGGCCGGGCAGGCGCTGGGTGGGGCCGGGCGGGCGGTGTGGGACGGGCGAGCGCAACAGGCCGGGCGGGCGCTGTGGAGGGGCCGGGCGGGCGATAGAGGGGGCCGAGCGGGCGCTAGGAGGGGCCGGCTAGGAGCGGGCGCGACGGCCAGGGGGCCGGCTAGGAGCGGGCGCGAACGGCTAGTGGGCCGGCTAGGGGCGGACGCAACGGCCAGGGGGCCAGCTAGGGGCGGGCGCGACGGCCAGGGGGCCGGCTAGAGGCGGGCGCGACGGCCAGGGGGCCGGCTAGGGGCGGACGCGACGGCCAGGGGACCAGCTAAGGGCGGGCGCGACGGCCAGGGGGGCGGCTATGGGCGGACGCGACGGCCAGGAGGCCGGCTAGGGGCGGACGCGACGGCGAGGGGGCCAGCTAGGGGCGGGCGCGACAGCCAGGGGGCCGGCTAGGGGCGGACGCGACGGCCAGGGGGCCAGCTAAGGGCGGGCGCGATGGCCAGGGGGCCAGCTAAGGGTGGGCGCGACGGCCAGGGGGCCAGCTAGGGGCGGGCGCGACGGCCAGGGGGCCGGCTAGGGGCGGACGCGATGGCCAGGAGGCCGGCTAGGGGCGGACGCAACGGCCAGGGGGCCAGCTAGGGGCGGGCGCGACGGCTAGTGGGCCGGCTAGGGGCGGACGCGACGGCTAGGGTGGTGGCTAGGGGCGGACGCGACGGCCAGGTGGCCGGCTAGGGGCGGGCGCGATGGCCAAGGGGCCGGCTAGGGGCGGACGCGACGGCCAGGCGGCCAGATTAGGGCGTGCCCGACGGCCAGGGGGCCGGTTAGGGGCGGACGCGACGGCCAGGGGGCCGGCTAGGGGCGGACGCGACGGCCAGGGGGCCGGCTAGGGGCGGACGCGATGGCCAGGGGGCCAGCTAGGGGCGGGCGCGACGGCCAGGGGGCCGGCTAGGGGCGGACGGGTCGGCCAGTGGGGAGGGGGCCAGCTAGGGACGGGTTACGAGGGCGGCTAGGGCCTAGGGTGGAAGCGTGAGCGGGCGAGAGGAACCGAACCTATTCATGATACCATGTTAGAAAGAGAGAATGAATGGACTAGTGTGAGAAACCTAGAACATGTACCTGTTGGGGTTGTACTCACTAGAAGCACACATCTAGGCTAGCCTATAACTTTTACATACATCATATGTATAAGTTGACAACTGTATGGCCCGGACGAAAGTGACTGTTACAGCTCCTCGGTTGTTCGTATCATTCGTAGGTCTAGTTTCATTTATACGGGAATCGCTGCAGGACAGCATGTGCCAGATTGGACCATGCGAAAACAGCTGGTTGAAACGCGGTGCCAGCTGGTCGCATAGAGGGAGGCAGGTCGCAGCCATTCAAATGATGAGTTGCACACAATTGGTAGGAGCTGTTCGATGTGGGTTTCTTGTTCCTTGCCGTACTCCTTGCTAGGAGAAGCTGTTTGGGAACCGGCTCGATCCACTGACGGCTGGTGTGAAACCTCCCAAACGCTCCGTGACACGTAAACATACTGTAAAACGTTTCCGTGACACGCCATTGCGTGACGCCGTGTCAGCCAGAGACACCCCCTCATTCCCAGCTTGTGAACATTACAACACACAAACTAGCCAGCTTTTTTCATTTTCACCATTTTTACCCTCCAACAAAGGAGTGAACTGCGGAATCTTAGATGTAAAGCATCTGAAATCGCAACATCTGTGTATGATAGTCTATTACTCACAGTATGAGATTTCGTTTTTTGTTTTATTAATGTAGTATCGATATTTATACTTCTCATAAATGATGATGCTACTTGATCCGTTTGACATTTTAATGTATGGCATTTAAGCTAGATCTACCAGCTCATGCCCTTTGTGATGTGAAATGAGTAGTTCCGTCAATGCGAATGCGTCCTCGGAACGGCAACCAAGGACAGATGGGCCACAGTTGGCTTGTGTTGTTCTTGGTGGCGAAATCATTCCCATCACACTGATGGCCCTTTCGTTGCATCTCCTTTGACTGCGAAGCGACCCCTGAGGTTGCATTCCAGGCTGTTACGAACAGATGACTTCTGAACAGATTCCACGCTAGTAGGGTAGCTACCCTTCATTCAGAGAAAGGGTAATTTTCAGCATGCGTTCGAAAACTTCAGAGGTAAACATTTCCCATATTCGGGGCTTTCCTTTATTTCCGAGTTCTGCAACTTCAAATCCGGACGCGAGCAGGGTGTATTTCAGACCAATCTCGGAAACTTTATCGGAAGAAAGTGTTTCGGGACCTGTTTCCGGGGATGTCTTCATCCACGTACCCCGAGGATTAGCCGACAACGCAGGCAATTACACCTCCAAGCAATCCCAAAAGTGCGGAGACTAACACATCTGTTCAGAGGCTATTGTTACGAGGCCAGGAATGCCTACTGAGTGGCATCCTATCTCCATATCTTTGACGATATGCGGCTACCATTTCTCCGACTTCTTTGAAACGTACGCATGGGCAGATCTGCTCTTCTGCTCCTGTGACCCGTCCTCCCGTCCCGTCCTCCAAAACATGCAGGTCTGGCAGGACTGAGAGGGTGTCCGAAGTAGCACTGGTGGGACGTCACAGATGTTGAAAGAGGGTTACCACCACTGTACACGCTACAGTTTTGATTTTCGGGGTGGCCGAAGTAGGGCTCCCGAAACCCCATAGTCGGACTTGACATCACACTGTATTGTTTCAACAACTTCAGGGGCAGCCCCGAAATTATGCCCAGAACCCGTACGACACCCACCGAACCAACGAAAATATGTTCGCGAATCTCCTGCTGGTCGCTGGGAGGGGAAAGGTTCGCAAGTGTGTGGGTTGCCGATTTTGTGATGACTTTGGCGAACCTGGGCGCCTGCCTCGTGAACTGCATTTGCGCATTGATTCGATTTGTTTTGTGACCTGGTAACTTTCAGTGTGCTGGTGCGCTGCCGATTTTTTGCTTGCCCGGTCGGAAAACTTTCTGCCATAGAAAACTTTCTACCATATTTCATTCGAGTGAGCATGTCCGAAGTTGGGATTCGTGTCGGGTTTGCCATCCACATTTGACTTCGAGCTTTGCGGGTAGGTTGACGTCAGCTAAGCTTAGCTGGCGTCAACTCTCAACTTCGGACACGCTCTGACCGTGAGGGAGTGCTGCAGAGATACAATCGACCAGCAGAGAACCATTCATCCACCCAACACCCGCAGCCCATTACCCCGTCACCACCATTGCCCTTCTCACCCTGGCTGGTAACCCGCTTTGCAGTATCTCTCTTTTGCCAAGTACGTACAGAGCAGTTGTAATCACCCAGCATGAGGAATCGAGAGATCAGCAGCAATCCCCTCCCTTACACCACCCTCACCTCGTATACAGTATCTGCGTTTCTAGAGTCGAGCACTGTTTCCAGGCCCCCATTCCGCGTACTGTACTAGTTAATTTCCAGGCTGGCAAGGTGAGTCATCTCCATGCGGTCGACTCGCTCTCATCATTCCACCCCCGTTCCACCTTGCTGTCGCGCCATTCCTTAGCTGCGTCCCTCTGGCCAAGCCATCCATTTTTCCAACGACATTTCCTCCTGCCTCACGAGCCCTCAGCGCTCTCTCCTCTGCTCGTCACTCTTCCTGCCTGCGATCCCATCCATCCGCAGCCGCGGGAATGCCAGGCCAACCTAAGCGCCTCTGCGCCCCACTTGCATCTGTGTGGCTCGTCCATCAACCTAAGCCCTGGAACGTTCCCCTCCGCGCCTCTCACGACCGTCCGTACCTGTAATCTACGTCACTGCAGTGCAAAGTGCCTCCTCTCCGCCTGATCCCTCATTCCTCCCCCACCCGCCTCTCCACTCCTTGCCTCGCCACTTCTCCAGCCTTCCACTCCCGGTCTAAGCTCCCTACTTGCTTCTCCTCCCAGCCGCCGCTCACGCACGCTCGCCCTCCACGCTCGCGCGCCAGCTTCCTCCCAGCTGTCCGTGAACCGACTCAATTGCATGCCGCGCGCCAGTGCGCCACCCCCGCTGCCGCTTCCGCTTCCGCCTTCTCTCCGCCTCCGGCACCATCGTCTTTCGCCCTCTCCGATCCGCCGACTGCCTCATAATCGCCCCAGCTGACAGCAGCAGCGCCGCTCCCTTCCACATCCCCCCCGGCACCGCAAGCTCGTCGCGGCTCGCCCTAAATCCTCCCCCTCTCGCCGCAAGCTCGTCCCGGCTTAGCAACGCGGCGGGTTCTCGTTTACAGTGTCTGGTTTTGCTGCATCCTCGAATCGCCCTCGTCTGTCGCCGCCTTCGTCGCTGCCGCCTACTTACAGGCTAACGAGGAGGCTCACGATTTTCATTGCGATAGAACGCTCGGATTCTCCTTACCGCATAGATCTTACGGTAGTGCTATGGCGGCTTAGGCGAGAGTTAAATCGGCAGCTCTAGAGAAAGCACCTAAGCAGCGGAGCCCTCGGCGCCTCTCGTTGCAGGATCACCCACACGAGAGTGGTCTCTTTCGCAGCGCTATGCTCGGCGCGCTTGCATGGCACTGAGTGACGTGTCCCTCCGCAACTGCGCTCTCCCTTCCGCCCCCGAACCGCATCCCCATCACCATCCCCTTTCCACCCATCCCGTTTCCGTTCCCTCTCCCCATCCCCATTTCTTACCCAGCATGCCCTCCTCCCCGCCCCTTCAATCCCGCCCCTCCCTGGCCGTTGGAGCACTCTCCGCTCCTTCCCCCTCCGCTCCTTCTGCGCCCGCTGCCCCGCGCGCGTCGTCCGCATCCCCCTCCTCCTCGTCTGCTGCTTCCGCGGTCGCCAAAGCGTGGGATACCATACTAGGCTCAGACTCCCCCCCTGGCTCTCCCACCTCTCCCCCCTCCACCTCCGCCGGCTCCGCTGCCGGCGCCGGCAGCGGAGCCGGCGATGACGTGGCGAGCATCCTGGAGCAGATTTGCCCTTGGAGCGCGGTGGAGTTTGGATACCCGGGGTCTCTTAACTACCGCTCGCTGCTCCTCGATTTTCACGGGCACTTGGTGTCCCCCTGGCACCACGTGCCGCTGCACGCCAAGAGCGGCGCGCTGCACTTCGTGTGCAAGACGCCGCAGGACTCGTGGGTACGATACGAGACCGCCAACGCAGAAGACTTCACTCCCATCCGCGTCGAGCGCGCGCCTGCCGCGGGTGACGCGGGTCCTTCCGCCTCCCCGTCCGCCGGCCCTGCCGCCGCCGCTGCCCCTGCCGCCGCTTCCGCGAGCGACCGCGCGGGGATGGAGAGTGGGGCGAGCGGGCAAAGAGACGCAGAGGGAGAGGGCGCGCGTGGTAAGGGGGAAAGGGGAAGAGGAGCGGAGGGGAGAACAGTGGGGGAAAAAGGTCCTTCTCGTAGAGGACTGCACTACGCGGAGAACTCGATATTTAACATCGGGTTCTTGCCGCAAACTTATGCGGATCCCGAGCAGCCTGTTAACGCGGATTTAGACCTTCTAGCGAGCATGGCAGGGAGCACGGGGGGAAGGGACGAGGGGGGAGAACTGGGGGGAGGGGGAAGCGAGAACGGGGCGGAAGCGGAGTGTAACTGCCCCTTGTGTGTAGATACCGGCGGTGCTGGTGGTTACAGCGGCTACAGTAACGGTAACGGTAATGGTAACGGCAAAAGTAACAGTAACAGTAAAAGCAGCAGGTCTGGGTGTGGCAGCAGGAGGGATGGGAGGGGCGGTGGTGCCAGCGGGCCCCTCACCAGTGGGCGAAGCAGCTCTGGGAGCTTTGCAGGTGCTAATAGCGGGTGTGACAGAAGCAGAACGAGTCGCAGTTGCAGCTACAGTGACGATTGGCACTGTGGTAACAACGGCTGTAGCAGCAACAGCGGCAGCAGCTGTAACAGTGGCGGTGTGCGAATCAGTAGTGAGGGAAGTGGGTGTGAGAGAGCGGAGGAGGAGGAGGAGGAGGAGCAGGTTAACAGTGTAACCCCCTCTTGGCGCCCCTCGCTGCTGGTGAACGACGGGAAGCCTCTAGAGGCTATCGAGATAGGCTTAAAACGGATGCGGACGGGCGAGGTTTGCTCCGTGCTGCCCGTGGCCATGTTCGCGTTGATAGAGCCCCGCAGCCAAGGGGGCGAGACTGGAGACGATGAGGACGGGCGCGAGGGGACGAGGGAGAGCGAGAGGGAGAGGGAGGGATTGGAGCAAGAGCAGTGGCACGAGCAGCGTCTGGGGCAGCAACAGCCGCGGCAGCAAGCGCAGCAGGGGCGGTTGCAGCAAGAAAAGCAGCAGCAGCAGCGGCATGGGAGGGCGGGAGTGCGCGTGCTGTCATGGAAGCTGGTGGTGGTGTCCACGGAAGATGCTCTCGCCAACACGCTGCACGGCATGCACGCCCCCATCCCCGTGCTGGCTGGCGTGCTCGAGCAGATTCAAGAGTGGCTCCGATTCTGCACCTGCGTGAAGCCAGGTACCCCTCTGCAACCCCCCTTCCTCCCCCACCCCACACCCTCTCCCTCTCCCTTTCTCCGTCTCCCCCTCCCTACATGTACATCTATTCACGTCCCTTGACCTCACCCTCCCTCGCCCCTCCGTGCAGGTGACGAGGAGTGCGAGTTCGCGCTGGGCGACGACCCTGCGAGCATGCAAGCGGCGATGGTGGTGGTGGCTCAGGCGCACGCCGCCTGGCAGCTGCTGTCGCACGACTGCCCACCGCCCAGCCCCTGGCTGCCGTCTGACCGCATCCTCTCCGCCTCCGTGCTTCTTCAGCACTGGCGGGACAAGGGGTACCTCACACCCTCCCCCTCCTCCTCTTCCCCCTCCTCCTCCTCCTCCTCTTCCTCCACCGCCACAACCGCAGCCGTAGCCACAGCAGCCTCAGCAAGCGACGCCAAGGCAGCTTTCCTCTTAGTGAAAGGCCCATCCCTCACCATCTCCCTCCCCCCCTACTCCTCCCACTCCTCCCCCTCCTTCTCCCCTTCCTCCCTGCTTCCCACCAGCGCCCCCCTCTTACCCATTACGGCTCCCACCACTGCCACCACCACCACCACCAGCAGTGCTGAGCGTATTGCTGTCTTGCCCTCACTCCCTGCATCCTCCTCCTTCTCCTCCTGGTCCTCCCCACATGCCTCCCCTTCCACTGCCCCCACTCTCCCACTGCCCTCCTCCCCTCTCGCCCCCACTCCCAGCAAGTCCACTGAGCTCGCCCCTCCCCTCCCCCCCTCCTCATCTTCCTCCTCCTCCACCCCTTCCTCTCTCTTTTCCCCGTCCTTCTCTCCCCACTCCCTCATTCCCCCTAGCCCAGACTCCCGCACTTCCCTTCGGCAGCGACAACCGCCCTCCTTTTCTTTCTCTCCCTCTCCCCTCCCCTCCTCTCTCTCGCCCGCTTCCACCCTCACTACCCCCCCTCCAGATGCCATCCCCCTCTCTGATTCCCGCATTTGCTCTGGCCGGAAGCACGATAGGATCTGGGCCCGCGCGTCTATAGACTCCCTCACTTCTACTTTTAACGAGTCAGGCTACAAACGAGGGGGAAGCGCGGGGAGGGAGAGGGCAAGGGAAGGAAAGGGCGCAAGGGGGCGTGGGGGAAGTTGGGGGGTGGGGGGAGAGAGTAGGGGCGGGGTTGGGGCATCGAGTCCTACGCAGGGTGTGAGGGACAGAGGGGGTGGGAGGGAGAGGTGGAGTGAGGAGAGTGGGGGGTTCGTTAGAGGGAAGGGGGCAGCAGACACAGTGAGTGGAATGCCTGAAAACGACTCCAGATCAGGGGGAGGAGCAGGAGGAATGAGGCACAGTAGGGGGGTAGGAGGAGGAGGACGACTGAATGACAGTGGGAGCCAGTTTATAGGGAAGTGCGAGACCCTTCCTTGCACTTCCTCATCCTCTTCCTCTGCGTCTTCGTTCCTCTCGTTCTCCCGCCTCTCCTCCACTCATCCCCGAACCAAGCTGAGATCAGGATCAGGCTCGTCAGACTTCAGTGCGGATTTCCAGTTCCAGGTGGCCAGGGCAGTGAGGGAGGTGGTTGAGGGGCCACACAGAGGGAGAGGGAAAGCCCACGCTGCCAAGGCGTCTTCTGCCACTGCTGCTGCTGCTGGTGTGGGCGCTGGTGCAGGTGCTGGTGCTGGTACTGGTGCAGGTTCTGCTGCCTCTCCTCCTCCTCTGCCCAGTCCTTCCCCCAAGCCTCGACACATGCGTAACCGGCCGGGTTTTGGCAGCTTCGGCAGCAGCTTCGTCAGCAGCTTCGCCACCGGGTTTGGGAGCAGCTTTCATGCGCCAGCAGGGGCGGGAGGGGGAGGGGGAGGCAGGGGAGCAGCAGGGGGCAGTAGGGGAAGCCCTTGTTCCGACAGAGGTTCTAGAAGCCTGCGCAGCAGCCCTGTTTACTCTGCTGCTGCAGGTGCTCCAGATGTTGCGGGTGCTGCTGGTGGTGCTGCTGCTGGTGTTTCTGCCTCCTACTCCTCGTCCTCCTCCCCGTCCTCGTCCTCCATGGGATGGCGGTTCAGCAGTGGGCGGCACAGGAGAACAGGCAGTGCCAGCAGCTGCGCCAGCAGCCCTCTCTCACTCCTCTCGCCTTCCTCTACTTCCTCCGCCCCCAGCCCCTTCTTTGCCAATATGTCAGCCCCAGGAACGACCCTGGAAAACCAGAGTAGTGGTGGGGGATGGGGAGCAGGATTAGCACGAGGAGGGAAAGGAGGAGCAGGTGGGGCAGCAGCAGGAGCAGCAGCGGGCGGAGTAGGAGCAGGTGGAAGGAGTGGAGGGGCAGGGGGGTCGTCTCTGAGTTCGTTCCGTAGTCCGGATGAGAGTAGGGTGGGCTCTAGGCACTGCCGAGCGGGCTCTTGGGCCGGCAGCAGCTTCGCAGCAACTGGCTTTGACGCCAGCGCCTCTGCTGGTGCTGGTGCTGGTGGTGGTGGTGGTGGTGGTGGTGGTGGTGGTGGTGGTTGTGGTGGTAGTAGTAGTGGTGGTCTTGCTGCAGGTGGGTTGGGTGCTAGCGTGAGGGGAATCGACCTGATCCATGCCAGTGTTGACCTGATCGAGAGCGTTGCTGGTGACCATTCTGGTGAGAGAGGAGGGGGGCCAGGAGGATGGGTAGGAGGGGGAGGAGGGGGAGGAGCGGGGGGATGGAGGAGAGTGACAGGTTCAGATCCCTTGTCTCCAGGCTCTGCTGGGTTCTTCTTCTCCAGACCATCTAACAGCAGCCACAGCGCAGCAGAGGGTGATGACACTTGCACCCGCACCCTTGCTGCTGGCCCTGCCATTGGTGCTGGCAGTGGCAGTGAAAGCAGCAGAAGCAGTGGTCGGTCATTTCAGTCCGTTCGATCGCCAACGCTTGAGAGGATCTTCGGGCAGAGAAAGAACCGGCGGGCAGGGTCGGCAGAAAAAGTGCGTGGCAGGCGGGCGGAGCAGGAGGGCGAGGAGAGGGGGATCCGAGTGGAGGAGAGGCCGAGAATGGCTCATGTGCAGGGCCCTGCTGCTGGTGGCGCTGCTGCTAGTGGTGGTGTTGATAGGTGCAGCTTCGCTGAGCTGTCATGTGCAGAGCAGGAGTCAGAAGCGCTGGTGCCTGACGCTGCAACGGCTAGGCAGGGGTCTGTGCGGCAACCTGCATTGCTCATCCCCGCGGGCAGAGAGGGACTAAGGGGGAGAGTAGAGAGCGTGCACTCCCATGCTTGTGCTGCTGACGCTCCACCTTCTGCTGCTGCTGCTGCTGCTGCTGCTGCTGCTGCTGCTGATGCTGCTGCCACCAGTGGTTCTTTTCTATCTAAGTCTACAACCATCTCAACAGCAGCAGCAGGAGCAGCAACAGGGCCTGTGGATGGCGTGTGCACGGTGTGTGAGTCGGACACGTCCTCGCCCTCCTCCTGGTCCCTCTCCTCCTTCCAAGGCAGTGTCGCCAGCAGCGTTTGCAGCACCAGCACCAGCAGCACCAGCCTGGTTGCCCTAGCAGCAGCAACGGGTTGTAGCGGCCGCACCAGTGGAATGCGCGCAGGCTGCGCTGATGCTGCTGCTGGCGGTTTTGCTGGCGGTGGTGGTGCTGGCAGTGGTATCGTGATGAAAGATTTGGACGGTGCGGAGCAGCGAAATGAGCATCAACAGCTGCTATTCCAGCGGCAGCAGCAGCAGCAGGTGCAGCCGCCAGTGTCACTGCTGCAGCGCAGGAGGCAGCAGCACCAGCCTGCTCTCACTCTCTCTCCCACGCATGTCAAGGCAAGGACAGCCAGTGCCTCCACCGCTGCTGCTCCTCCTCCTGCTGCCACCACTCAAGCTACTGCTGGAGGGTCAGAGCTGGCAGTACAGAACGTAGGGGAAACGGGGGCTAGGGCTGGGGAGAGTGGTGGATGTTGCCCCTGTGATGCTGCTGCTGGTGCTGCTGCTGGTATTGGTGACAGTAATGGTGCTGTGATTGCTGAGTGTGCGATTGGATGTAGGGTGGGAGAGAGAGGCAGAGAAGGGGAGGAGAGGCAAGGGAGGGAGGGCGAGAAGAAAGGCGAGAGCATAAGCTCAGATGGCGGCAGGAATGTGCAGGAGGAGGAGAGGCAGAAGGGTGGAGTGTGTGGGGGAGTGTGTGGGAAAGTGTGCGGGGCAGTGAATGGGCAAGGAATGGACCAGTTGGGCTGTGGTGCTTTCGTTGTGGGCTGTGTGGAGGCATGTGAGAGGGGGGGAGAGGCATGCAAAGAGGCGCTGCCAGCTGCTGCATCTAGAGCAGGAACTGTCAAGCCAGTTGCAGGTCCTGCCATCCTAGCTGCTCATTGCCCCTCTCTCCCACCCCCTGGACCCCCTCTCTCTCACTCCCGAGGCTCATCTGCACCTTCCTCTCCCCGCCGTGCTCACTCCCCCTCTCCTTCCCATTCCTCCTCCCCCTCCTACCTCACCCATCTTCGCCCTTCCGACTGCCTCGTTTCTTCCCAGCGCTTCAGCCCATTGCCTTCCTCCTCCTCCTCCTCCTCCTCCTCCTCCTCCTCCTCCTCCTCCTCCTCCTCCTCCTCCTCCTCCTCCTCCTCCTCTCCTCCTCCTCCTCCTCCTCCTCCTCCTCCTCCTCCTCCTCCTCCTCCTCCTCCTCCTCCTCCTCCTCCTCCTCCTCCTCCTCCTCCTCCTCCTCCTCCTCCTCCTCCTCCTCCTCCTACTCATCCTCTTCCTCCCCCTCTGCGCTCAACGCTTCAGGCATCACTCGCACCTCCTCCCTCCCAGACTTGCTCGCCCCCTCCTCATCTTCTGCGCTCTCGTCCTACACCTCATCCCTCTCCTTGCACTCATCCATGGCAGCAGTTTCATGCACCCCACCAGCATCGGTGTCAGTGTCAGTAGCGCCTGCTGCTGGTCCAGTGGGCTTCCAAGTGCGCGGCCCCATCAGCCCCTCAGCCCGACGACCCCCCAAGAGCTCATCCCCTCGCCAGCCCTCTGCTTACACTTGCACAGCTCCAAATCCATTCACTGAGTCGCCTACTGTCGAGGCCAGTGCGGTAGCAGCAGCTGCTGCAGCAGAGAACACCCCTCGCCCTGCTATTGGCGCTGCCAGCCTGTCACCGCTGGCAGCCCCCCGTAGGAGGCAGGGGTCGAGGCGAATGGTGTCGTTCCATGCAGTGGTTAAGGTGTATGAGTTCACTGTGCACGCGGATGAGGGGGACGAGGAGGACGACGAGGAACAGTTCTGGCCCTGAAGGACAAGTGCTCTGAGAGTGAGTGGCAGATGCTGTTAGAAGAGCGAATTGAACTCTAGCAAGGCATACAGGTGGATATATGGTTTGGGTACTGTACTTATCAGAACTCGGTCACTAACCACTGAGACAGAAGGGAGTCATAAAGTCACCAGTCCTAACCATTGGGGCAAGAAGAGATTGTTAGAATACGTGAATGATTACTAGAAGGAGAAACCTAGAACATATACCTGTTGAGTTGTACTCACTAGCAGGGCTGATGTTTCAAAAGAAGGCACTCTGAGCTAACCCCCCCCCAAAAAAAATTAGTCTGAAAGGTCTTCAGCCAGAATTTAGGGACTCTGAAATGTCAGAGTCCGGAGATGAGCAAGTCTGAAATCCTCAGGATCGCGCAAGTACATTCAGGGTTAGTTATTACAACTTACATGTTATTAAGAAGCCTTCTTGTATCTTACATTTTCCTACACTGGACAGGAGCCTACAACTACCGTACTACTACTACCAGTTTACCACCAAGCAATCTCTAACTAACAAGCTCCTAGAACTCCGGCGCATCCACTGTAATCTCGTCATCACCCCCCTCATTGTCTGACAGGAAAGGGTCGTCGTCTATTCTTGGAGCCGCATCATCCTCATCATCACTCCCATCCTCCTCAGCCCACCCCTCCCCCATGTACTCTGGCACCTCCCCCTGTCGATCACCCGTTGTGTCTCCCGCCACCTCACCCTCCAGGGCCTTTCCCTTGCGCTTACGTTCCGCAGATGCGAAGACAACAGATCGTGCTGGGCGTCTCAGCTTCTCTCGCTAGGTCGCCAGGGCATCGGTCCAATTGATGTCGTACTGCAGCAGCGAGATGGCCATCAACTCAGAGAGGCGCACGTTGCAGAGTGAGCCACGGACCCAGGACTTAATCACGTTCTGTCGAGAGAAGCCCCTCTCGCATTCGACTGTTGACAGAGGCAGCACGGCACAGGCCTGCCACAGGCGCATCAGATTGGGCCAGCGCCTGACACGAGATAGAAAAACAAAGGCGGAAGAAAGGCAGCAGGAAATGCATAGAGTGAAGGCGGATAACACAGGGGGTTTAAAGGCGGTTGGCAAGGGCGGCAATGTTGTGCACACTTGACAAGTAGAATGGGAGGTGGTGATTCAGAAACAACAATACCGTTGGACTTGCCTGCTCGAGTCCGTCTTCGTGAGGTAGTTTGCCAGGCCTTGGTGGAAGCTCTCCACCTCGTGATGATTCTGCATGATCGGCGCCCACGTTGCGAGCTCCGTCTCCGCTGCCTTCACGTCGAAGCCGGGCAGCTTGTGCTCGAAGATGCCGCTGCATCCGAGTAGATACTCTTTCGTCTTTTTTTCACGCTGCGCCCGTTGTCTCGGCCACTTCGCCGCCACCCACAGCTTCGTCGGTGACATCTTGCGCAGATCCCGCATCCGCTCTCGTACGTTGATCATGGTATCCTTGGCGTGCTTCTCGCACAACAGCACGCAGTCCTTGTAGCTGCTCCCGTACTGGTGCTTGTCGAGGTGCCGCTCGTGCATCTTGTACGTGTGGGTGACGGGGTTTCCCTCCAAGTCGATACCCCGCACCTTCACCCGCTTCGACCCGCCGCGCCCGTACACCGTGAGGAACGCCGAGAGCCAGGTGTTTTCGGCACCGACACCGAAAACCTCCCCACACTCGACATAGCGATGCCGCAGATCCCCCAGTGTCTCGTCGATGTCCGTTGCCACCTCTGTGACATCGACCTGCGGCGTTGGGGGGAGGACACAGAGGAGAGGGAAAGACATGAGTACTTGCACCAGAGGAGAACACCACGCTTGCAGACAGTATCTCACCTCTCGCTTCTGGAACTTGAGGTTGAGGTCGTTCATGAGTGCCAGCATGTCGGCCAGGTAGAAGAGGCAAAACTGAAACTTATACGAAATCACAACCTCATACAGGGGATGCTCATACTCATACAGCAGGACAATCGCAGCACCCAACACTTTACACAGGCGTCGGATTGCCTCTCCCTTAGACAACCATCGAACTTGATGGATGCCTTGAACCTCAAGGTTTGTGCTGTGAATCGCCCGCTGCAGATGCTGGAAACGACTGCTCCATACGCTTGACCGGCCGAGCAGGTCCGCAAGGGTGCGAGTGACCTTGTCGACCATGTCGAGGTCTGGACATGAAGCGGCAGCGTCCTTCACAGCAAGTGCTTCTTTGCATGTACCCACACGGGTAGTAGTTAGCACATGGAAACATAAAAAACATAAACAAACAGCAAGGAATAATTTAACAAACCTGTGGGCGATGCAGTGGGAGGAAAAGAGGTGCGGGATGATGTCTCGCAGGCGCGCCACAAGCCCGTTGTCTCGCCCGACCATCACCGAAGCGCCGTCTATGCTGATGCCGACGATGCGTTGAAGGTCGATGCCGGACGACTCCAGGTGGACTAGGAGAGTGGCCATGAGAGAAGCGGCGTCGCACTTTTGAACTTCTAGCAGGGCTAGGAATTCGGTGACGACTCGACGCAGCCGCATGAATGTGACGTAGACGATCAGGTGCTTTCCCCGCGTGCGGTCGGTGCTCTCGTCGCATGAGATGCCGAGGTAAGGTGAGCTCTTGATGTGCTCCATCTGAGTAGCTAGCAGATGAGTTGACAGACAGTTCACCATCTGCTGGAACCCGTACCTGCAGTGGCATAATCAGAAGTGAAACAGTCGTTAATTAGCATTGCAAATGCATTGAAATCTACATGGCTAATACCAAAGTCATACAGTCGACCGACGAAAACAAGGTAGCCTTACCTGGTGAGATACACACCGTACGACTGGAGAGGTATGTCTGGTGTGTCTTGCTCTGCCATGAAACGAAGCAGCCTGGGAAACATGGCGATAGGAGCATCGTTCTTGCAAAGAAACTCCACGCACTGCAAAAGACGGATGACGCGGCGGCCTTCAACATCGACGGTGGCGAAGCTTGTCATCTTCTGCTGCTTGTCTTCAATCTCCTTCTGAATCTCGAGCTGTCGGCGAACCGCCTCTTCGTGGACTGTCGAGTGTTCATGGATGCGCATCGTCTGTGTCTAGAGATCTCGCCCGCCATCGCCTGGCCTTGAGTACTTCGTCGTTTCTTTGCCGAAGGCTCAGCAAACGCTGCACTTAAGGGCGGGGTAGCCTTCCTTAGTACGGGTGAGTACAAGCCAGGGGAAATAACGCAACCAATCATTCTTGTACTTAGCCTCAGCGACTAGGTATTTCTGCTCAATCAACTCCTTTGTACTTAGCTTCGGTGGCGGCGGTTCATCAGGGCGGGTGACAGGGGGAGGTGAGCGCGGTGGTGAGGGAGGGCGAATCTGGCCACCAAGGTTGATACGCTGCTGCGTATACTTCGTCGTGCATTGTTTTTTCGCCGAAGAGACAGTAGATGCGCATGGCACACTATAACGAATGGTAGAGGCAGTGGCGCACTGAATAGGATCCACTGGCCCTCTGCTGGAAGATGCTATGGCTGGTGGGAGAATGAAGGGAGCGGGGGCAGGTCTACTTGGCAACGATGGCTCGTCACACGGTGTCTCGTCAACAGCGGTTGTGGCGACAAGAGGCGAAGGAGCCGATGCGGCAACGGACCGCAAGATGTCTAGGGCGCTCCTTGGCGCTACGGCTGGATCCTTACTACTGCGCGGCTCATCACCGTCAGCAGGAGCATCATCGGCGCCATCCTTTTCAGGCATGGTGAGAGGAGGAACTAAAGAAAGCGACTACAACTACGCCTGTGTCTCAGACAAATGAACAAATGGAACGATTCCCCCTGTAAAACTTGAAGCAGTGCGTTCAAAGCTGATGGGTAAGGAACGATTGGAGAAGAAGGGGTCCATCACACCCGTGTCGCACCTTTCTTGAAAGGTCTGCAAGGCTGGCATAGAGGGCACGGGCCCGAGGTTCGCGCATGCACAGAGAGCAACAGAGCAGAATCTGCGGTCCTTATTGGCTCAGCATGGCAGCATTTTTGCCGCGCTGGATAGCAAAGTGCCCACAGTGGGCAGAGTATACATTGGACTTGGCGGAATTTTATGTGAAGTGTGGATTCTGCACGTGACGCGGGCGGGAAGCACTGATGGCAGGCGAAATTTCTGGGGATCTTGCGTGCCCCATGGAAATCTGTTTCAGGGTTCGTACCCGATGTACTCTGAAAACTCAGTACTGGATAAGCGTGTACTCTGATTTTTTCAGGATCCCCAAAGTCTTAGTCTGAATCAATCAGGATTGAGAAAATGCCTTATCTGGAAATTCAGGTTTGGCAAAAAAACCGGTCTGAGATTTCAGACTTATCAGAGTAAATAGTCTGATAAAATCAGCCCTGCTCACTAGAAGCACACACCTAGTCTAGCCTATAACTTCTACATACAACATATGTATAAGTTGACACACCCCCTAGGCTAGATAAGGGGTGGTGCTAAGCCAGAAGCACACAGCTCAAGGTGGCACTACTAGTCCAACCACTGAGGCAGGGGTCCGGAGACCAGTCAGCAAGAGTACAAACAAGACTAAAGCAAGCCAGGG